CCAGTGCCATTTTAAGTCACTTAAAGTGATATAAGGCATTTAATTAATCTTCAAGTTCAGGTTCATATAATCACTATTTCCCCATGTCTTAGATATAGTCTTTTTTCATGTAATCCTCATAAGAGTGCTAAAAGGTAGCTGTCGTGTTACCCCCATTTTACAGATAAGCATGTGGAGGTTCAGAATGGTTAAATGGTTGTCCCAAAGCGTAACTGTGTGAAACAAATTCACCTGTCCAAACCCAAAGAATGGACTCCGAGATCCGGAGAACGGCAAACGCGAGACTTTTAATGGCAGCCTTGCAACATCCTGTATTTAGCATGCACTCACACCCAGCACAGTCTCAACAAGCAATTTATCTGGTAGGGTGCAGGTCCCTCCCCAGTTTCCTCATAGGGTGAGTACTATGGGGTTACCATCTTCCGTGACCTTGCCTATTTATTGTTAGGCAGGGGCTTTAGGTGTACCTTTTTCAGGGTTGTCTTGCTTCACTTTGTAGCCGCCCACAATGCACCGCAATCCTAGTTAGCTCAGGGGCTCTTTAAGTATTTGACTTATGACCTAAATAGCTGGGCAGGCTGGTAAGAACAGACAAAGTGACCTATTGCATACTACTAAACTATTATCTTTGACAAAAAAATCTTTGGTTCAAGTGAGGGCAACTACGTTGGAAGACAAGCTATTTCTTCTGTAGTTTGCTGACCTAAGCTGATTCAAGGCACTTTGTCTTGGAAATAAACCACAATTATACATTATTTCCTTTATAACTAAAACATGTCAGGACCAGTGGGCTTCAAATGCTGGCTGATTGTATTCGGCCAGGTAGAGCCAAGTACTTAACTTTTGTGAATTTCAGTTTGGTTTTGTATAAAATGAGGATCATAATACAGAACGTGTGAAGTTACTGAGTTGAGGAGATGCAGGAATGTATAACAGGTGATCTATGTTCATTCCCTTGTCTTTGAAAATGCACACATCAGGAAGGGAAGGGCCTGTATTGTATATAACATATTACCTTCATAAAGCTGGTGAACATAAGACTCTTTCTGACTGACTCACCACATCCTTTACACAATGACTAAGATCAGATCAGAGTGTGGTGCTGTCAGTGTGTCAGTCATTCTGAGTAGAGCACAGCTCTTTGCCCTGTAGAATGCCTGCCTGTCTTGTCTTGCTGATGACACTGTGTGGCTAGCTCAGTCTCTGGCATGGGTTGCTGAGACCTCAAATTCTGCTTTTTTTTTTTTTTTTTTTTTTTTGAGATAGAATTTCGTTCTTGTTGCCCAGGCTAGCATGAAGTGGCACGATGTCAGCTCACTGCAGTCTCTGCCTGGATCCAGCAATTCTCCTGCTCAGCCTCCTGTGTAGCTGGGATTACAGGTGCCCACCACCACGTCTGACTAATTTTTTGTATTTTTAGTAGAGATGGGGTTTCACCATATTGGCCAGGCTGGTCTCAAACTCCTGACCTCAGGTGATCCACCTCCTTGGTCTCCCAAAGTGCTGGGATTACAGGCATGAGCCACTGCGCCCGGCCTCAAATTCTGCTCTTTAAAATGATGGAAGAATTTGGGTTCTCTCTATATTTTTAAACTCTTCTAATACAATAAATTGCTTGCATCTCTCAAAAGCTACTAATAAAATATTTTTACCTTTTATTCAAAGTTTAAGATACACATCTAAAGAGCATTGATGTTAATGATCAAATAATATACAGAAATTTATATAAGGCAAAAATTAAGGATTCCTTCCTGATCCCTCAGTTTCCATCCCTGCTCTCCTATGTATTAGCAATTTGTCAGAATCTTCTGCAATTTGGCTTTACACAGAGCTCTATTGGAAAAGACAATAAAATATAAGAAATGTAATGGCATACTCTAACTTTTGAAACCGTTTTTGTCACCAAATATTGATGGATTCTAATTTTTTTAATGAAACTATTTCCATTTTTTTGAGCTGAAAAAGATCTATTTGGCCTGAGCTGTTCATTTTTCAGGTGAAGAAACCAAACCCCAGAGAGCTCCAATGCCTTACTCAAAGCTACATGGTGCATGGCAGGGCTGGGGCTGGAAAGCCGCTTCCCTGGCCACCTTGCCAGACCTCTAATTTGAGGCAATAAGCCTTGCAGAGCACTGTCCTGCATCTGTGGTCCCTGTACTCTATACATGAGAACTGGCCAAGAGCCAGGCATGCAGGGAGCCCTCCATAAAGACGGGTTTTTTTTTTTTTTTTTTTTGTCCTATTTCAATGCTACTTAATGCATTCAAAAGAATGGAGTAGCTGTATAAGCAACTATCATTCAGCGGCAGATACTCTTTTTTTTTTTTTTTTGAGATGGAATCTTGCTCTTGCCAGTCTGGAGTGCAGTGGCACGATCTTGGCTCACTGCAACCTCCAACTCCCGGGTTCAAACAATTCTCCTGCCTCAGTCTCCCCAGTAGCTAGGATTACAGACATGTGCCACCACACCTGGCTAATATTGTATTTTTAGTAGAGATGGGGTTTTACTGTGTCGGCCGAGATGGTCTGGATCCCCTGACCTTGTGCTCCACCCACCTCGGCCTCCCAAAGTGCTGGGATTACAGGCGTAAGCCCCTAGGCACTTAAGGCATAAGGGATGAATTTGTCCTGTATGACTGTAATCAATTAATTTAATCTCTATAAATATTAATATTCAAAAATTGGCATCGATAACCCTACAAACCCAAATATAACATGACTGATGTTAAAGCAACTTGCAAACATTGCTTTGTTATACAAGTAATTGCATATCTGTATTTCATAACATTTCATAGTTTGTAAGACATTTTCATATGCATCAATTTATTTCACACTTAAGACAGGCTGTAAAAGAAAGATACTGATACTACTATTTATAAACTAGGAGAGACCAAATGTTCCTTCAAGGCCACACAGCTAGTTAATGACAGCACTGGAACTGAACGGAGGTCTCTCAACTTCCGGTCCAGGAACCTTCCAGTATTTGGTGTGCATTCTTTATATTACACTAATGAAGGTTCAAGTCCTCTTTCCCACCACCAGGTTGGAGACGACTTCCAAATGAGGCCATGAGCTAGACACTCTACACACTGTCCACATCAGGCCATCTGTGAATGGCAGCTTAACAGCCTCCTCCCCTGTCCCTGCTGTCAATATTGACCTACAAGCATAAGATGAGAGGATGAGGCAGGGGGGTGAGGGCAGAGGAAAATACACAGGGTATCAGAGGGCATAGAGCTTAGTTCAAGTTCTTTAGTATGGGTTGAAGATCACACAGTTCAATTTCAAATCCCATCCCCTGGCAAGCATGATCCTTGATCATCTCAATCCAAGGGACTTTCCCTTGATCTTTTTCAGGCACTACCAACATCCCAGCTACCGATCCTTCTAGTTTCACCAAAATGTGCAAAGCCACTCTGGCACAATGTGCATTATAACATCTTCATACCTTTACACATGATGTTACACTTACTTGGAACACTGTCCTTAATTTTGAACCCAGAAGGCTCAGACTTACCTGGTAAGATGCAACTCAAGTATTCTCTTCTCTATGAAGATCACCTTGGCTGACTCTTCAAGATAGAGTTAGGATTTATTATGTTTTGTTTTACCTTCTCTTTTTTTTTGCAAAACATTTTAACGACAGCCATCATGGAGAGATGCAGAAACTGTAGAAGTGGCTTAAGGGCAGAGGCTGTGTCTCACTGGGCGCAATATTTGCACAAAGTAAATTTTCAGTAAATGGTAGTTTCCTAAATGGATGAATGAATGGATGGATAGATGAGTGGCAGAATATACTAAAAATGCTTAAGGCACAGTGGGGTGCCATATGCTGACAGGTTAGAAAATGGAAATTTCTGGGTCCTCTGGACCTTGGCTCTTATTGCATATGGATGTTCTTGGTCACGTAATTTAATCTTCCTGCATCTCATTCTTAACTGTGAAGCCCACTGTCTACCCTACTCCACCCAGCTGGGAGCCCAGGGAAGTTGATGGATATTAAACCATTATCAATAGCTCCTTGCCCTTGGCTTCCAATTGAGTTTCGCTAATGGGAGATAGCATCAGGAGATCCAGGGGAGAAGGAGCATGAGATGGAGATTTTCATTCCACTCACCACAGCTCCCTCCCTGCAGGTCCCACAACTGAAAGCAACAGCTCCTCTTCCTGCAACCCAGGAAGAGAGCTCTGTCTCTGTGTCCCAGTGCCCACCTGGTCCCCAAGCCCCTCCAAGCCCAGGCATGTGACAGCCCCCTTATGTTACCACCTCCAGATACTTCACTGTCTCCTGTTCATTCGTTCTACTCTGCTCACACCTTTTAAATGTTCTCTTTATTAAGCTGTACTCAAATTACCCAATTTGACAGTGTCATCTGTTTCTTGCTGGAACCTCAGCTGATATCCTTTATGCCTCTCAGGGTCTTTGAGTAGATTATATGTGATTATTGACACGAAGCCCTTACTGAAAACTCCTAGCATCTCTGCCACTAATTTATATGGTAAATAACTTAATCTCTCCTATGTGGGTAAATACAAGGCTCAAATAAAATGTTGCATTCTACGTAAAGGGATACAGAATTGTAACTTCCAATAAATATCTCATGGTAAAGTCAAACTTGGAAATGAAAAGCACCCCTTCTCCTACAGGCTCTGGCTCGGAGCAGAGCCAGCCAAGCCTGGCTAACGTGCCCTTGGTGCCCAGGGGAAGCACACAATTGCACGCCAGGGAAAACCAGGTTCAGTTTATGGTTGCTCAGCTCCCGGGGGCAGATGGGATGAATGCTGACAGAAAGAGGACACAGCCTGTCAGAGAAAGAAATCCCCTCCCCCACAGTGTTCCAGAAATAAGCCAATTCTTGACCTGGATTGATTCTCTTCCTGTCATTTCCTCTAAACCAGCACCTGCATCCGATTTTAACAAGAAGCAACGGCGGCTTGTTCCCCCAGAATTAAAACATGATGTGGAAGTTCCAGTAACGAGTTTGCTTTTGTTTTCACAGGCTGAGTTGAAGATCCCTCCCTCTTATCTGCTGGGTGCCAAGAACTATGAACAGGCAGTAAGTACCATGGCATCACTGTGAGCCCCAATTCCCTTCTCTTAGCTGAGACAGGACATATTTCCTGGAAGATGAACTAAGAAATGATGCTACTGTGTCCCCTCTGCCCACCACGGAAAGGGGATTTCCTGAGAGGCCATGGTTGAGAGTGTGCGCTTTGGTGTTGAGAAAACTCCTTTTTCCAGTAGCTGCATTTTCTTATTGACAGAGCACTGGTTCTCACCCAGCATGGTTGTGTGGTGGTGCAGGGACAACATATCCCAGTACCATGATGCTAGAAGAGCACCCAGTCACTTTCCATCCCTGGGTGTAAGGAAGTAAGTAAAAGGAAGTGGGGTGTTCACTTTTTCCCTCCGGAGCAAGCCTGGAGTCCCTTTCTCTTTGTGGACACCCAGAGTAAGTGGTATGGTCAGTCTGAGACACCCAAATTTGTGCGTGAAATTTAAAAATGCCATCCTTGATGTCTTCATATAGAAAAAAAAAAGCAGGACTCAAAAGTTTGAGACATAATTACAGTGAAAATAAGGACCTTGAAATTGGCAAAGTTCGGTGTACCAGCTTTAAAATTAATCTCCTTTATTTGTTCACTTTATTTTGCCAGCCAGAAAGGTAGCTTTGTTATTCGTCTTTGGTGTGAAAAGCAGAGTGATTGTGTTAGAAAGAGCATGAGTTTCAGAGTCAGGCAGACCAAATCCCTTGCCCTGTCATTTTACATCCGTATGATACTGGAGAATGATGATATCCTAACCCTCTGGATATGTAAGAAGTTACTTAACCCTCTGAAAAGCAGAATCTGACTTGGGGAGGGGAACTGCCTGGCTTCTGGGTGGATATCTTGATCCTAGAGGGAGGCTAGGGCACAGAACAGAATAACCAGGCAATGGCTGCATCTCACAGGTGGACACTGGCTGGAGGGCTCTGGTCCAAGAGACAGAGGGAAGAGCAGGTGCTATAGCAGCCCTAGCATCTCAGCTACCCATGGATGCCCACAGGTGTCCAGGTGGAGCAACCTGACTCACAGCCAGGCCCAAGGGATGAGAAGTCTGGAGCTTCTGTTCTTCCTCTTGCCATAAACAGCATAGCAGGAGCTCCCTGGCATGTAGTCCACAGATGGGCTCCTCACGCAAGTAAGAATTAAGCTCATCAAGCATCCTTTCTTTGCCAGGAGTTATGACCTTTTCCTCCTCGATCCTTACAGCAGGACTAGGTGGCTAGTGATACAGCAGATATCACTAGCTCCCTGGAAGATTAGCTTCTTCGTCTCAACGGCTTGTCTGAGATGGCTCAGAGCATTGAGATGAAGGTGGAGCTGGAATTCAAGTCTGACTCCCAGTTCAGTGCTCCTTCCATTCTTCTCCCCACCATGGGAAACGGAGAAAGCACCAGTAAGGCAGTCAGGGGTAATGTCAATGCAGGTGAGCTGGTTAACCTGCGGTTGCACCACAAAGGGGATGAACTCTCAGAACTAAGGTTGGCATTGGGGATAAACGTGGCAAACAGCAGTTTCCTTGTAGGAAAGATGAATTCGAGGTTCGCACTGATGGCATAACCAGCACAGCAGGTGTATTGGTGTCCTGGGCTGCTCTAACAAATCACCACCACATGCGTGGCTTAAAACAGGAGGATTCTATTCGTATACAGTTCTAGGAGGCGGAAATTCAAAATTAATGGGTTGGCAGGGCCTTTCTTCCCCCAAAGCCTCAAGGGAAGAATCCTTCCTGGTCTCATCCAGCTCCTGGAGGCTTCTGGCTTTCCTTGCCTGTGGCTGTATCACTCCACTCTCTGCCTCCATTTCACATGACCTTCTCCTCTGTGGCCATATTTTCTTTTCTTCTCACCTCAAATCTCCCTCTCGCTGTCTGATAAAAAGATATTTGTCATTGGATTTAGGAGTCACCTGGATAGTCAGAATGATTTCTTATCAAGATCCTTAACGACATCTGCACATTTTCCAAACAGGGTCACATCACAAGCGACAGGGATTTGGATGTGGATGTGTGGTAGGGCCACCATTCAGTCCACAGCAGCAGGCACTATCTTCACACTCTCTCCTCTCTTGGGGGCCAATATGGGATGGCTTTGAAAAGTCTGGCAATATTTGCCAAGAGCGTCTGCCTGGCTTTGTAGCTGAGACTCCCACCCCTTCTATCTCTGCTTCTAGGCCTTTTAATAATTCCACCCTGTGCCAAGGGCCTCTTCTATAAGAGGAGAGGTTTTCCCCTTTTATGAGGCCTTTCCATGGTTTTGGTTTTTAGCCAGGGAGTTGGTCTCCGTTGAAGCTTTCCAGAGGGAAGCTTTGTGGTTTCAGCTTTACAGTCACCTTAGATCTGAAGCAGGCAATGCATAGACCAGAGGACAGTCAAACCATCACCATTTCACAAGCATTAGCTTCCTCTCATTAGGATGAGTTCACATGGAGCCTACACACTTGACTATCTGACACCTCAACATTAGGCACCTGCCTTGACGAATAATTCTTCTTTCCCAAACCTCAGGCATCTTTTTTCTCCCCTAACCCCAATCTCTTCTTTCCTCTTTCCTGTTGTGCAGCCTCAACCCAGTCAATCCATATGGGATTATTGCTGGCCTGTCCCAAAGTGAAAAGCAGATACTAAAATTAGCATCCCCCCTGCACCATCCCCCCTGCCAGTGCACTTACACATTAAAGAGAAATGCATAAGCTGGCACTATCCAAATGAAAGGTAAGATGCCCTAGTACACTCCACGTTTTATTCTCCACCTTCAGGTTTCCTGTCCAGGGTGTCCTGAGCTGGAAGACAATGTTGATCTAAGTGCAGACTGCATGACAGCAGTGAAAGTATCACCAGGGAGCTTGCTAGAAACGCAGAATCCCAGCTGCTACAGCCTAGCCCAGGCATGCTGAGTCGGAATCCATACTTTTACAAGATCCTCAGTTGATTCCTGGACACATTAAAGCCTAAGAAGTGCTGAACTAGAACAGGAGTTCCCAGCACCGTTTCCTTCCCAGCACACTTAAGAATTTATCTACAGTAGTAGCCAAGGCATGACTCAGAGAAGGCAGCCACATATGGGTCTGGGTGTGAGTGTCCTTTGGAAATGTGTGCCCCAGCATCACCACACACACAGAGGTTTTTGTTTTGCTGTGACTTGTGAGGTAGTACTCACTTCCTCTGTCAAAATTATTAACTCAGCCAACTCAAGGTAGTAGATTTTAAACCTGAAGAAATATTAGAATCATCAGGGAGGCTTTAAACAAAAACAATTTCGATGTCCTTCCCCAAAGCAAAGAAACCAGAATAGGTGGACATCAGTCTTGTCTTTTATTTGTTAATGCTCAACTGAATGTAATCTACTGCTGCTTTTGTGAAATAATGTCTCACAATTCTATAACCTGGAATTTCTTACAGTTCTATAACCTGAACTACTAGGCAGACTTTGTAACTACACTAATTCCTTACTGTCAGTCTTCTCAGGCTGCTATAACAAAATAGCTCAGACTGGGTAACTCAGAAACAACAGAAATTTATTGCTCACAGTTCTGGAAGCTGGGAAGTCCAAACACATGGGGCCAGCAGATTTTGTGTCTGATGAGAGTACTTCCTGGCTCATAGATAGCTGTTTTTTGTTTGTTTGTTTGTTTGTTTGTTTTGTTTGTTTGTTTGTTTGTTGCTGTGTCTTCACATGGTAAAGAAGGGAAGGAATGTATCGGGACCTTTTTATAAGGGCACTAATCTCATTTCAGGGGAGTTTTGCCCTCTCGGCCTAATCACCCCCCAAAAGCCCACCTTTTAATACTATAACCTTAGTGATTAGCTTTCAACATATGAATTTAAGGGGTTCAAAACATTTAAATCATAGGAGTATCTCTCATTAAGCACTTTTACAATGAATAAATTAATAAGAACAAATGAATTGATGATATTGAAATACATATTTTATATGTACACGGTTATGTGAACCTATGGGTGTATCTATGGGTATATCATTGGATTTAGGGGTCTCACAATACAAACATAGGCACACATATTTGTATATGATCGTATCAGTCAAAAGCATTTATTTATTGAGTATACATTTCACGTGCCTCATTTATAAAGATGAATAAGATTTAGTCTCTGCCCTCAAAGAACATTAGCCATATGTAAAGAGAATTATTTCAGTATTACGTAGAGAGTGATGAGAAAATTCCACAAGTACTAAGAAGAGGTTCTGATGGTATGATTCTAAATTGCTTCTGAAATTAGCAGGCTATTTTTCATTGACTTTCCGTGCAACGAAACTTGCAGCTTCCCTAGCAATGCATTAAACTGCAGAAAGCCTCATTCCTGGATGCTGTTAGAGAAGAGCAGACAGAGTAGGCAGTGGCCCTATTATACCGCAGGGGCTGGATAAGGGCATCTTGGGGTTTGGTTTCCAGTACCTCTTCATCATTCTGGACAGGACTGATAAGAACCTTGACGCTGTGGCTCTGAGTGCTTTGGAAGAGACAAAGTCACCCAAGTGATTGCTTCTGGGCTCTTTCCAGTAAGTGTACTGTACTGGCCAGCCAGGCTCTTTTGGAAATTTGAGTGAAAGACACTCTTGCACATCTCAGATTGGGGATAGATCAGAGAGCAAGGGTCTCCAGAGTGTCCACTTTGAAATAAGGCTTAAAAAGTTACTAAGCTTGTTTCGTTCATTGGTGAAATTATCCCCAGTACTGATGGAAATTTTAGAAAATACACAAAAATACACAGAAGAAAATGAAAATTACCAATTATCCTCACACCCAGCACTAACTTGCTACAGTTGTCTTAGTTCATTTTTCTATATCTATACTTTTAAAACTCATTGTTTTAAGTCATTCACTTAATAATAGTGTTTCCTTTTCTGAGCATTGTCCTACATGATTAAATTTTCTTTAGAATCATGGTGTTTTGAAGCCATGACTCAAATGAGGTTTACCACCCCTTCTCCATAATTTCAAAGTCAAAAGGCTTTGAAATACTGAAAGGTCTGTATAGTGAATTTCACAGAAT